CAGCAGGAGTTTTGAGAGCGCAAGCTACGCAGGGTGCATGATTCTCTCCATGCACTTTTTTTTTGACTTTATTTTGCTCTCTTTTTGATACATAGTTAAGGAACACCTCATAAACTATGCACTCTCAAATTTGCAGCTACAACAGAGCCCAATAAGCCGGTTAAAATCGCCCTTTCTTGTCAAATTGTTTTCACTCATTTTTTGGCATTCCCATAAACGCATAGCAAAAACGAAACCCATTTTTGTGACCCTTATATGGACCCCTACAACAAACCATTTCCAAAAAGCGCGCCATGACCTGAAAGACCTCCCTTGTTAGGCATCACTTCTAGCTAAGTGAACAAGAAACTATTGGCGATACGAAATATGCGACTAACCGAATAACAAGGCAAGTGGTTTTGGTCCAGGGGAACGGGTTCTTCCCGGGAACCACGTGAATCACTGCAAATACTATTGGATGGACACGGAAGGGGGAGGGGTAAGGCATATGGCGAGGACTCACCTATCTAGCTGTCCACTCTTGCAGAAATGAAGCAGCTAGATCGGTGGTGGGGAGGGCAAGAGTGATGTCGTCTGATACCCTCCAAGTCACCATATGTCACGTAATGGTCATTCAGTCACATCCTATAGTGTAGTGATGATCTCCACACTTGCTCGCAGTTCCTCCCTGTTGTTGATTGGAGGATGTATTCCAATGCCTCTTTTATCTTCCTTTCCACCGGGTCACAAACGTTCTTGTGAATAACGCGGACCTTTATCTGGGGCGCGCTCTCGTGAGTGTGCCGTAAAGAACGGTGTCGCGAGAAAGGGTTCTCTGGATAACTGCTGGGATTCCGGAGAGCCCTTAGATGTTCGTCCAGCCTTTTGTAAAGAGGGCGTCCACTTTCTCCTATGTAAAATTCCGAGCATGACGCGCACTCTACTTCATAGACGGTGTTCTTCAAAGGCATATTTTCCGTTCTTCTTGGCAGTAACAACAATTTGCACGGCCACACAGATCTTCATATAGTCGAGAGGATGTGAGCAGACGGCGCAGCGTTGATGGTGGTCGGAATATCAGGCGGATCGGCATCCCAGACCTCTTCACCACTCGGTTAACATCCTTCGCAAAGGACTCGGAGAGGTATGGTATTATGAGAGGGACGCCTCCCGGCACCTGATATGGGCGCCAGCAATTCACGTGTCTGCTTCCATAGCCATTCTCGACAAGTATCCGCGTCACCTTATCCATTACTTCAGGAACGTTGGTCGACGTCATCTTCCAAGCTGTTGCCAAGGTGTTTTTAACGACATTTCTTTTCATGAACAGGGGGTGGCAGCTTCTCGAATGGATTAAGATGTTTTTCGAAGCGCTCTTCTTGTGCCACATAGAGAACACCTGGTTTCCTGCAAGCTTCACTTTTGTGTTCAGGAATGGCAAAAACCGTCCTGTTCTGGATCCTCGACAGCGCAATATTGGGGTGCGCCGAGTTCAGCTCGATAAATGTCCGACGGAGTGCTGTTCTGGATTTTCCGACTACAAATATGTCATCTATGTAGCGACCGTAGAACAGCAGTCCCGATGAAAAGGCACGTCTTTCTAAACGGTCCATGAATATGATGGCAAGAAGCGGTGCAATGCGGCTGCCCATGGCTAATCCTCGTCTGCATGTAAATTGTTTTGGAATCGGAACATGTTGAACTTCACAACATTTACCAGAAGCTCTTCAATCTCGCCAATGGACAAACCGTATAATTGACAGCTATTGGAATGCTGTCGTAATAGGTCAATGCACGCTTCAATTGCCATTCTCGTGTCTACGTTGGTGTAAAGGGCAGACACGTTGAAGCTCTGATATTCTATTGTTATTGTATACCAGCTTGGCTGACGCGCACTACTGCGCGCATGGTTCAACCTGGTACTCCTTACTGACAGGACTTCTGTGCTAACCACTAACACTTGGCTTAATTCCCATGCTTCGAAATACGGCCCATTTCATCATTTTTGCACCTTTTCAATGAACAATGTCTGGTGCTTATCACATTTCTAACAACACTCGCCATTCGTTGGAAATAGGACAGCTTAGTGGTTGAAAGAGTTTCGATGGTAACAATATCGAAATCGTAGTGAATGCCCTTACATCCTAGTACTTCCGTTGAGCAGCTTTCACTTATCCGTCTGCTGGTGGCTCTTATCATCTCTCACTGACAAACATCTCGGCCTTTAATTTTGGGTGAAACTCCAGAGTTTAGCGGTCGAATCAATTTCAACCGCCAAACTAAGGGATTTCGCTAAGGGCTGGAAACAACTTGGCTCACTGAGCCTTTGCCCTTTGGTTCTTTGGCAACGGTGGTCAACTTTACTCGCAAGCAGAGTAAGGATGCGATAGATACTGACTCTTAAGCCTTGTCGGACACTATCAGAAATTTATCTACCACCACCAAAATTTCCCCACCATGCTCCCTAACCACCTGCTGGAAGCAGTTCCCCAGTGATATTACAACCCGTGCTATAAATTTTGGCAGCTTCGTTTCCGAAGTGGAACCGTACGGTGTTCCTATCAACTGTTATCACTTCCTGCCACCCACCAATAATGTTTCCATCTTACCCCTGTCTTCATCTTGGAACTAATGT